AACTTTGTGATTTACTAAGGATTAAAGGACGAGATTTTCGGAATGGACCAAACTCACGTTTTCAGGTGCTTACTGAAACGCAATGTAGTATCCGGGAGTTATTATCCTATTTCGTATTCGCTTTGTAATTTTTGTTTTGAATAGATTTCGCGTACTTCCGTTCCGAGGCAACAGGCGTCGAATGCCGACGGAATTTCCAATGTAACGTTACAAACGCGAGCAAGTTTTCGAAAATATGCAACTTAACAGTCGACAATACTGGTCCAGTTACGCTTGACTGGATGCTAGTTCGGAATTCACAATCCCTTTAGAAAATTTCAGTATCGTTCTGATATTTGAATTGGTAAAACGTGACGTCGAAATGAAATTCCAGTACAGTTAATATGGTAAATTACTTTTCTCGAATACTCGATAATATATCGAAAAAATTGGGAAATCAACTGCACGTTAATGAATTTTAATTCTCGTATCCGTTTATCAGCGTTTTATGATAAAGCGATTCTGAATATTCACACGAATGCATATTTGTTGTGGAATATGAATACTGAAACGAGACAATTTTCTAATTTGTATACTTCATACAATTTGCGTGCAACTATTCGAGTATAAAATTGGTGTGTCAGGGCTACTTGTTAAATTCATGTATCTTAAAAATTACGCACCATTTATTATTTAAGCATTATGTATCACTTTAGTATCGATCAATTCGTTGACAGAAATTAAGTATGTCAATATTGTCTATAATTCCAAATCATTCCTCTAAACATAACAACAGAGTTCAGATAGTTCAATAGTAGGCAATTTATAAACCTTGATCGATATTGACTGGTCAATTAATTGATCCTGTCAACCCCACTGCATATTCACCCATAACATTGTCTCTGTTTGTTATCCTAACCGTAACATTTTCGGCCTGCAATAATTAGCAAATAATTGAAAGGACCTTTTAATAAAAAGTGAATTGTAATCTTTCCAAACAGTAAAAAATCATTTGGTGTAATGGATATATTTTTCTGTCAGTTTTCTTCAAACCGATATTCAGTATTATCAACTCCCTAAGGGGGCAGAACACAGTAACAACCCCAAAAGTGCAGATATATAAGGGAATTTTTTCCAAAGAAACTACAAAATAATCTTTGTAGTTCTTTTTACATTTTCTAGAAAACTTTTTACATTTTTCTAGACGACTCCTAAGAGTGCGTCATGCTAAAATTTGTCCCCACTTAAGGGTTAAAAAAACAATATATTCCATTGAATAAAGAAGATTGCATCCGCATTATCATCCCTTCAACGACAAAATTAACCAACCTGCAAAATTCCATTCACCGTGTCAGAGTCTAAATGGTCCGTTTAATTGCAATCAATGGAACCGATTCGCCACGTCTTCGCCACATCCTCGAACTCAGCCATAAGAACCCGGACTGGACAGTCGATCTATCACGGAAAACATCAACGCTAATAGAGGATCGATCTTTCCCGTGAGAGAAATGCCTCGATTGCTCCATCGATGGTGTTCTAAACGAGGAGAAATTCTTATATACATTTTTCTTCTGGCCGACCGAACCTCGAGGATTCCTTCACGGTCGACTGCCTCCCTCCCCCTTCCCCTCGGGAAAAGTGATTCGTTCGATATCGGGCGTCGTCGTGATCGGTCAAAATAATCGACGTGGACACACTTCCGATAATCACGGCGGTAAGCGTCGCCGATCAATCACCGGATACCGTTCTCAGCTGGGTTGTAAGTGCCCGATCACGAACACGCGGACCGACCATCGAACGTTCCCGTGAACCATTCAGCCGTGGGATATTTCCCTATCTAGCTGGCGCGTGGCCGTCCTGGATGGCGGCTCTGTTCCACTGTCACGGACCCGTGCAGGCTGATAAGAGACGGACGATGGTGGTTGGTTCGTTGGTCGGTCCGATGTCATCGTTTTCGACGATGTCTGCTCAACCGGTCTAGGTCCCTTAGTTTCCTTCGCGGAGAGCCGTTTACCACGGGGGGGCCACGGGAACGGGCCGAATAATCAGGTATGCAAACGCCTGATAACGGGTGCCATTCGTCGGGCGATTCGGGATGCACGGAGGAATCTATGCAGTCTTGACACAAACACCATCTCCCGTTCCTTGAACCGGCTGTTTCCCTTGGTTATACGTCGCGCGTTTGAACTCCGTTCAGATAGGACCGAATACGCTGAAATATGAAGTGTGTAGCAGGTTAAGCTTGTTTGTTGGAACACGTTGTTTACGGTGGAACAAATTCTTGACAATAATCGACTGAACACTGTACACTCATACCTCGCTTTACGGCCTAGATACGTTCCGGAAAAGTTGGCCGTAAAACGAAAAGCCGTATAGGAATTAATTATTTTGATACAAACCCATACAAATTCAATTGGATCTGTTCCAATTTTTTATAACATAATATAGTTTTTAGTTCATAAAGCATTTTATTCCTTTATTTCCTATAAAAATGCTTATTTTTGTTGGCCGTATAACGAAACATTGTGGGCCGTAAATCGAAAAAGTGCCATAATTAAAAAAGGCCATTATAGCGAAATACCGTATAAAGAGCGGCCGTATAGCGAGGTATAGGTGTACTATGAAAAAGTACGCGACGCGCGATTAGAAAGAGACTACTCTGCAGGATAAAATGTCGTAGAAGTGTTTTTTAACTACATGTATAGAGTTTTAAAGTAAACACGTGACTTTTAAGGGTCATTGAAGAAACATCTTTTTACCCTTAACTACGGACGACTCATCTCAGACATGAATAATTTGACAACACGACTACTTCGCGACACTTTTAATAACCAACTGAATTATTTAGAAACAGTATGCCGATTTACTGTCAACTGGAAGTACACGAACACTAGAGCTTCCGAAATTCTTCGCTAGGTACTGATAGTGAAAAAAGAAATTCAGATTCGTCTGTAGGTTAGAGTTAAAGCCGCGTTAATTAATACACACACTCCACAGAAATTTCGTACAACTTTACGAATTATACGAATAATTTCATGTACCAGGGAAGATGTGAATCATAATTTTCCGAATGAAGAGAAAGACAACAAAGACTCTTTCAGACGTATGTTACATGACGAATAATGTGGTAAATTCGCCCACTCCGAAAACTCCTTCAGGATCCGCGGTTAGAGATTTGGAAACAGTTCAGTGAACTCGGTTCAGACGGTGTACGTACGCGGAAGGATTAGACGCGATAACTTCGAAACATCATCAAGTCGTGTATCTCGACGCGATGATACCTTAAGCTTGTATTCTCTGCGTCGATTGCAACGTCTGTTAACGTCGTCCCCAGCACACCACCGGATACGTTGGCTCTCGTATATTATGCATTGTAGTCACCCGCCTAGTCGATAACACACGGGGCTTTCGTTTTGCTCTGGCATTAAAATTCACCAATTATCACCGGTGTTACGGGTATATCGATCCGTGACGTGCCCAATCATCAGGTTTCGAGTCTGCCTGATAGATCCGCGTTATTCTCGAATTACCGGTGTTGCTGGCAGTCCCGTAATACACGTGAGGGGCTGCGAGCGAAACGGATCCTTCCGACGCGAGTAAACCACGCGATTATCGACGTGCAGAAAAGCCCCCGTAGCGAGATCGTTGGTAGTACAGCCATTGTTATGCCGCAAAATTTTATTTAATCCGGTTTTACGTGCTTCCTTGGAAGAATTTAGTTATCGATTGATAGCACGGCTTAACCGAGTCAACGATAAACGCGTGTACACCGGAATATATGAATACATGAATAATAAAAGGGTAATTTGGATTAAGTGGTACGATGGTATGCGCGAAGATGAGCAACATTTTAAGCGAATTACGCGGGGTATTATTCGAGGAAATCTGCATGAGTTAGTTTTAACAGCTAATTGTTATACGGTATTTTTTGTGCTGAAAATTAAAATTTGTCTTTTTATGTTTTGTTCTCTGATACGCGAAACTTTTGATTTCGTTTAATGGTTTCCGGTTGGAGTATAAATGTGGTTAGAATTAAATGATTCGTAATTTCAATTTTTCGCAATTTCTGGTTTATATTAGGATCATTCCACGCGAAATAGGACACATTTTGGAGTAGCATTGCGGATTTTATTAACACTTGGATATGTTGTAGTCTTTAGTTATATATAAACGTATCCCGAAGGATTTTGCAACATTTTTTGAGTTGTTGATTCTACAACTGTTTGAAATATAGTGTCAACCTTTTTTCAATAAATCATAACTGTTGAACTAATAAACTCCCACGAATCTTATTTTGATCAGTTTGTTAGTTGAACATTTATGATTTATTGGCAAAGATAAACACTACAGTTCAAACAGCTGTAGAATCAACCATTTAAAAAATGTTTAAAAACCCTTCGAGATACGTTTACATATCTGCAACATATCCAAATATCACAAAAATTCACAATGTTATTCCAAAACGTGTCGGATTTCGCGTGAAATAACCTATTAATTAATTACTAATCAATATAAATTTAATAGAATTAATAGCACGGTGGTTGAGTGACTTCAGTTACTCTTCAATAATTCATAACATTCCTGTGCATATAACTAATGATCAAATTACAAATTTATAATTGTAGCTTACATCGGTAACTCACAATTGAACCAAGAAGCATTCAGTAAGATACGCACAAAGATTAATGTGCTCTAAAACCACGTAAATACGTTAAAGAATATTAGTAGTGCAAGCAACAAAATTTCTTGCTGCTATTAAATCTGAATTAAAAACCAGACAAAATAGACACAGCAGCAGAACTGTTACTTAAACGGAGAATAAATGATCGATAACGATATTAAGTTATCGAAGCGGATAATAATTATATTAAAATTTTTAACGATCATGATCTAATAGAAGACTTATATACGGTGTTCTCGAACGATCAAGCTCTGACAGCAACGATACACCGTCGAACGCAAACCCAATTTCCGAGACAACATAATAATGCGCGTAACGTGTGTGTGTGTGTATGTTACAGTGACCTCCGAAAACGGAAGCGAGGCTTCTACGGCCGCCTATCTGACGATGCTGATGCTGTACATGCTCCAGCTACTTCTGAGATAGTCATAGCACGCCTGAGGCCACGGAAAGGGAGCTCATGGGCGTCGCACGATAAACAGCAGCAGCAGCAGCAGCAGCACACTAGTCAAAAGCAGAAGGATGGAAGGAGGGAAGGAGGAATGGGACGGCAGAAGGGTCAAACCGGGTCTGCCGGCGTGATCAAATCAATAATAATATTGTTGAATCGGCATATTGAATAATTACGTGTTTTTTAGCGTACACAACGGTTCAGTTTGTTCGACGAACGTAATCCACGATACGTCATCGCTCTCGATCATTTATAAAATACCCCCTTGTCCGCGCGTTCTCGATTACGATCAAGGAACGCAAGGACACCAGCGCGCGCTTATCGGATACACTTACCTCGACCGAACGTTCTATAAACCGTTCGCCGTCGTTAATGAACATTGACACGGGGGGAAGAGACGAGTTTATGGTTTCGACGTACATACAGGGTGAGTCAATAAGAATTACTATCCAAAATGACTCATTCCCTAGTAGTGTATCAAAAAACGTTAATAAAATGCACAGAATCTTAAGGGATGCATCAGATGGATACAATTTGATATCATTATATCATTTTTTGTAGACATCAAGGTGACCTTGAGTTTTCTTAAAGTTAATGCATCTTTTTTTTAATACCATCATGCTACAGATCGTTGAATTCTATTGCAACAACGTGGTAATAAAAGGAAAAATGCATTGACCTTGAAAAAACTCAAGGTCACCTTGATATCTCCAAAAAAAAGATATAAATACAAAAAATTGTATCGATCCGATGTGTCCCTTAAAATGCTACATACAATAGACTCACGTTAAAGTAGCGGTAGGAACGCCCCAACTCACATACATCATTCACACATGTGCACGCACCTCACTATCACTCGCCTTCTGTAAAAAAAGTTCTGCTCCAATTGATGGATCAACCGAACTGCTACGAGATCCTTCGTGCCCATTGGTTCACGTTAAAGTAGCCTTTCCAGGGAAAAACCTACCTCGAAAGACCCAGGCAGCGCTTCTTTAACGTGAGTCTACTGTAATTCATTAAAACGTTGTCTGATACAAGCAATAGGTACCAAGTTATTTTAGGTTGTAGTTCTTATTGACTCACCCTATATACGAACACCACTTGCTCGGCGGGACAGAGGCAATTAGTGGGGCGTTTGATTGTTCTATCGCCAATGCTCAAACGATTTCCGCGTCCGGGTAAGTAACGAACAAACGACTGATCGTTTGAGGACAATCCCGACTTTGTAGTGCAAGCTTGTACGCGTTTCCGATCCAGGTGACGAACATTGAAAAGAACATAACCTAGCGGCGTATGGAGTAACCACACAGTCGAGGAATCGCGAACTTTCGACCAATCAGGGGACACGGTTCTATATTTCAGCAAGTGTGGTCCCCAGGGGTAGGCGAGTACCTATAATTTACAAGCTGAGCTGAACTCGATTCGCTTGCTCGAATCGAATCGAGCGTTTGAATTTTCCGAGCTACTTGAAACCGAGGAACTGTTTGAAAAAAATGCGAGCTACTTGGAAAATTCGAACAGCTCGAACACTCGAGCCCTTGCAAGACTTCGATTTACTTGAAAATTAATTTTCAACTCGAAAATTGTCAAATTACTCGCACATATTCGTACAGACCTCTAATTTTCGAATTACTCGTGAAAATTCGAATTGCTCGAATTACTCGCATATTTATCCATTTACTATCAAATACTCATATAACTGTGAGGGAAGAAAATCACTTTAAGAAATGAAAATAAAGCAGAAGCATTATATTAGAGTCTTCCATTTTTCTTCCTTACAGTTAGATTGGTATTTGACGATAAATACACAAATATTCGAGTAACTCGAACAATTCGAATATTGACGAATAACTCCAAAGTTCCAGATCTCTTCGAATACATTCGTGTTCCTCAGAAATTTTCAAGCTAAGAATTCATCTTCAAGTAAATCGAAGTTTTACGAGCGCTCAAATATTCGAGCCGTTTGAGAAATAATCGATACAGTTCGTCGATTTCAAGTAGCTTGGAACATTCAAACGCTCGACTCGACTCGACCGACCGATCATTATTTCACTCGAAATTCGAGTACTCGTACACCCTTAGTCGTCCCCCCTGTCGTTCTGCGACGAAAGGGCGACTATCGAATGTCCTGCTGTCACCACTTTCGGCTGAGGACACGTGTCATGCTCCTGTGCTCTCCCTACGTCCATTCAGCCATTGTCCCGCGAGCCAGACCGAAGGAGCCTGGGGGATCGATCCTGCGATTTCGATGCGTAGGAGCTAGTCAAGGGGCGCGCGCGCCCGCCGGATTTCGAAATTCCCTTCGCCCCTCGTCTTGTGGCCATACCGTAGGTCGAGAAAATCGCTATCGCCTTCGTTGTAACGATGCTTCCGTGGCGAGTGTACCTGGGGGACTTAGGTATTCGCAAGGTAATACGCGGGGTTACTATGCCCGTTCGTAACGATACGACCACCCTGGAGAACGGGGTTTCTTTGGGGCGACGCGACGAGTTATAATCGGTTGGATTTTCGACAAACGGAGAACGGGTAGTATTTCTAGGGGCGGCTTTACCGTATGTTTATTATCCGATATACAAAGTGTGTCAATACGAACTACCATCTAAAATAACTCGTTACCTATTGGTTGTATCATTAATGAATTAGGTAGGACTTTAAGGGATGCATCGGATGAATACAGTTTAATTTTTTTGTATTTTGTGTTTGTTGAGATATCGAAGTGACCTTGAGTTTGTACTAGGTAAATGCATATTTTTTTCAATTCAACGAACTATTGTATTAAAAAAAGGATGCATTGACCTTGAAAAATCTCAAAGTCACCTTGATATCTGAAAAGAATAAGATATAATGAAATCAATGCATCTTTTATAATATATTTGTTAAAACGTTTTTTGATACAACTAATAGGGAATGAATTATTTTAGATAGTAGTTCTTATTGACTCACCCTGTATTTTCCAGTTGAAAATTAAGCGTCTCAGATGCTTTATTTCGTGGTTCGATTTAAACGAGTTTTCTTGTAATATTTTGTACAATGTAATGAAGGTACGTGAGTATGTAAGGTTCCTCACACTTACGAATTGTCCACCATTCTTGCTTTATTTTTGTTTGTATAAGGTTAAATAATTATTATCAGACAAGGGGTGATTCTACAAAAAAAAATAAATTGAAAAGAAAAAATACATTTTCTTCGTTTAAGGTTACATTTTCGAGAAAATTTGGTTCGAACATTCATCTAAAACGCGTGCATTCGTGCTGGCAGTAAGTAGAAACGGTCTTTAATGAACAGACGTGGGAGCCAAGTCCTATTCTACTGCCTACGTATCCAAAAAATTTTCAAGTTCGATTATCTCGCAAACGAAGCATCATCCGAAAAAATTTTATTCTTTTCTTTCGATTCCATTTTTTTTATAAAATCACATCCTTCCAGACCTGAGACATCCCATATACGCACGAGACTTTACATCGTGTTTGGACGGTGTAAGAATATTTGACTTCTATTGTTACTTGGTTAAATGTTACGAATAATGCAAAACTTTGCAGAATCTCAATTAAGGATTAGTACATGTGTAATTATGTGTAAGTGAAGTATCTTATACGGCGGTTTTGATATTTTTATTAAATTCTATAAGAAGATTTTGAGATTAATAAATTCTTTTCTTACAGTTGAGGACGATGTTATTTATTCTAGGACGAAGGATTTAATATCATTTTAGCTTAGCTTATTGCAGTTCTTCCTGTTTGTATTTGAGTACTTGTATAATTACGTATTTCACAAAAACAGGCACATTGTTACAGTATAGGGTTGCACTTAATTTAAAATTAGGCGCAAACTCATTCGTTCAATAATTATAATATTTAAGGGTTTTCCGAAATGTATAGTTTATTATACAATACTGATTTTTCTAAATATTATATAATAACAATTTATATGTTTGGAATTTATATTAATGAAAAGTGTGTAAAGGTTACACTTTTATTATTACTTCATAACATTATTTACACAATATTTTGTGAGATTAAAGATAGATTGTATCTTTTTACTAGTAACGTTACAGTTTTAACATATTTAACACAATTACCGCTCATATGTGATAAATAAAATTATGCAATATTCAAGATAAATAATTAGAATACAGATATGTACCCCTCGTTTTAGATTAGGAATCGAAACTGAAAGAGTAGTAGATAATTAACAGTGTGAGTAACAGTACATATATATTTGACATTAAATGTTCCGATATAAAGATTTCATTATTTACAGTAAATTATTATTATAATTACATCGTATTTTTTTATTTTCCAGTTACAATGTGCATGTCAATTCTTAAACTAAAATTTTGCACTTACGTTCCTTTCAGCGAAACCAAAAACAAAACTTTCCAACAACGTCGTACCAATTCAACCCGAGTGTTCGCCCGGTCTTCATAAAAACCGCGTTTCTTTCCATCGTAAGAGGGGATGCAAGTGTAGCTATATCGAATAATAATCTTCGGTAAACAGTCGAGAACAAACGATAGCATAGCAACAGCAGAGAATCAAAAGTGTTAAAACAAACGTTATATTCGCGTGTTAACATTACAAACGAACCAAGTTCTCGAAACGTTGCATCGAGAGACGCATGAAAGAGAGAAAAGAAAGAACCCGTTCCAGAAGTATTTTTCCCGAAGGCGACGCCGTATTTTCTTATATTTCTCCCGGCGTGTTTTCTCGAATATATTTTCCTGTGCTTGCCGGCGTATGAATTGTGTCAACAATCAGAGACTCTCCAGTTCGGTCCAAACATTTTGCAGACTACGAAAGTTTACAGTAAATATGTATACCCCGTTCGAGGATGAGCGAAAGATCGATACACTTCGATAGAAGGAAGAAAATTCGAGGCTGCTAAAATAGAAGCACAGATACCAAACGTTTTCCGTTCCACTGACAAACGACCCCCCACGCCCCCCACCCCTCTTTCACATCAGGCCATACCTCTT